CAGCCTAGCAGCAAGGCCGGCATCGGGTCTGTCGCAGCTCGCTCTCCAGCCCGCGCCTACCCTGACCACGCCGGGGATGTTGAAACGTGTAAAGGTTTGCTTTGTTTCTGCTCAGAACTTGGTGAAGCCGCGTGGGAAGAGACTGGAGTGAAATGCCGGTAATGGAGGGCGTTCAGAGCAGGGGGTGTAAGCAGCAGAAGAGAGGTACATGGTGCTGAAAGGGGCGAGGCAGAGTCACTGCGTGAGAGGAAGGATAGCTGTTGGAATTTGATGGTATTTCCAGAAGCTGTGTTCGCTCCCGCAGAGCCAGGAGGGGAGGGGTTAGAGGTGGATAAGCAAACAGCACCTTTTCTTTTGTTTTATGCCAGCGCTGAAGCTTCCTGATAGGTCTTGCCAGTTGTGAACTGCAGCTGAAATGAACATCCTCGAGACAGGCTTGGTGACAAGTCATACCCCGTGGGTTAGGGCTGCTGATTGGTCCAAGTGCTTTTCAGAGCTATTAACCATCGCTTCAAAAGCTCTGCTGCTGGAGGATTTAAAATAAACTGCGTCTGGCCTTCCTGTTCTGGAAGACACTTACACCAGAGAAAGGTCTGTCTTCCAAATTTTGCAGCTGAACAGCTCTAATGCAGCTGCTTTTAGCAGCGGATTAAAACTATCACTTAAAGATGTAAAATAACAGCATTTCTCTGTATGCATGTTGCAGTCCTTGCCCCTGTGAGTGTCAGTGTCATCATCCGCAGCACCAATTCCTGGAAACTTCAGTTGTTAAATATAGAGGGTATGAGATTTGGGCAGGCATGAATAGATCATTGAAGGCTCTTGCCCTTCTGCATGGTCAGCCTTAAGCATCCAAAAAGAAAAGAAAATGACTGGTGTGCTGCATGTGCTTGGCGACGACATAGCTTTCCCCTCTGCAGTCAGTAGGAGACGATCCTCGTGCTTTTCTAGTAGCTAGGCAAGATTCCTATTTTAGAATTTTCTCTGTACTTCTTAATAACAAGAAGCCATCCTGTTTTCATTAATGAAAGATGGTAATTTTCCTAAATCCTGATTATTAGTATTTTTTTATTTTTTCTGATATACTGTTCAAAAGACAGCTCGGGGTTTTCTCCATTTTGGGTAATGCTTACTGTGCTTGTGAGTTGTATCATCCTACTGCTGCCGTAAATTGCTGCATGAAAAAGGAAGCACGGCAATGTCATAAATAAGAGCAGCAGTGAGCAAGTGTGTTCACCCTCCCAGAAGGTAGAACGAGCCACTCGTGGGATAATCATGTGTCCACAGATTGCACACTGCAGGGTACTGTGCTAGAAGCTCTGCGTTTGTAAAGACGAAGTTGCTAGGTGCTGATCGTTTTCTTCCATAGTTGAAAGACTGGTTGTAGGTGGGTGAAATAGCGTGGTAGAAAAGCAAAGCAGCTGGCATCAGAATGAGCCTGACTATGGAAGTGCTTTCCTTTTTCCTTCTGTTCAGTACAGGTTTAATTACTTTGCATTCTGTGGGTTTGGCTCTACTGCATTGGATAATAATGACCTTAAAGGACTGTAAAGTAACAAAGGGAGAAAGAAGTCAAAATCCTTAGCCTTGCATATGTTGAGGTTTCTGGTCTATTAGAGTCTGTGGCCAGCTGCCTTTTTCCGCTAAGGATAAGGTGCTGTTGAGAGACTACAGACCTGCAACAGGAAACTCTGCATAAAATGGTAGTGCTAATAGCGCCAAGAGAGAATAATGCTGCTGGGGAGACTGTAACGGACTATGCTAGGAAACAGCCCTGAAATCATGCTGCGCAGTTTTCTGTGAGAGAGGAGCGTGAGCAGGGCTGCTCTGAATGTGGCACAGCGTGTTCTAATGACTGCTGCGGTAGTGCTGGTGTGAAACCCCATGTTCAGCTCGGCATCGCTGAAGTCTTTGGCAAAGGTTCCGATGGCTGAAATGATGGAGCAGCGAAGCTTAAGTGCAGAGCCCTTTTGCAATTAAGTCCTTCTGTTTAGTATTTTACTTAACTCATTTTGGAGAAGGGCTTGTAAGACTTTTGCTGAAGGGAATGCTATGCTACTGTCCGGATTGTCGGAGTAAAAGATCCTATCTTGCTGCTGTTTATTTAAAGGGAAGAAAAAAGGATGTGAATTTAAATGCTTAGAATCATCATTTTGTGATACCTACTAGTAGTACGATAGCTGGTGCAGGTTGCTCTTTGAAGTTTGATGCAGACCCCAGCAAATATTACCAATGTTCTAAAGCACATAAAACATGCATATCAGCATTTGAAAATATTCTTGTACATGTCAATAGTGAAGTTTATGATGTAGAAAATACAGCAGTTGGGCAGACTAAACATTTACAATAAACATGATGTAATTTTTTGATAGGCATGTGACAGTATGTTAATAGAATGCAGTCATACTTGTGGTGTCCTTAATCTCTTGAGAAATTTAAGGCTGTAGGGTGAACCTGTAGAGAGGAATGATAGTGACTGCTGGGGAGAGGAATGCAGCAAGTATCAAAAGGCTTGTTGGTGCGAGACCAGTGACAAAATTACTGTGGAGTTGAAGTAGGTATAACGTGAGACCCTCGGACTTTGGGGGAGAGGGATGGGAGACTGGCCAGCTGGAATCAAGTGTACAAAACATTGTTCAAGCCTTGGGCGAAAACCAGCACAAAAAGAACAGGAGTGTAACTGGGCTACCTTATCTTTGGCATGGAGAAATCCATGATTTTTCACATACCTTGTATCCTTCCTATTGCTGAAATGACTTGACATCTGCCATTCACGCTGAAGAAGTGAATTGCTGCCAAATACTAGAGGAAATTTGGGATTTAAGTCCTTGCTTAGCTTCGGTATTTTTCTGAACTTGAAAAAACAGTAAATGAATATTAAAACAGGAAAATTTGGTCATCAGTTTAAATGTAAGATTTGCGGGTCTTTTATTGGAGCACAAGCACTATCAGCCATATAATTAGATTAATTATTTGGGTAGCTGGCAGTATTTTGTTTAAACAAATTTGCTGATTGCACTGACAGAGGGGAGCACGTATATCTGGAACTTTCCAAAAATGATGTAGGCATTTACAAGTAAATGCAGGTTGTAATACTTTGATATAGATAGGAATAGTGGAAACAGTTACAGCAAAAAGAATTATACTAATCAGCTCAACTGTATGTTTTTAATAGCTCCTTATAGCCACAATGGCAACGTCATCTGAAGAAGTGTTACTGATTGTAAAGAAGGTACGTCAGAAGAAGCAGGATGGGGCGCTCTACCTTATGGCTGAAAGGATAGCATGGGCACCTGAAGGCAAAGACCGATTCACAGTCAGCCATATGTATGCAGACATAAAATGTAAGTTAAAACATTTAAATCCAACCCAAAGCTTCCTTGCCATAAAACACTGGTGGGTAAATTAGGAAGGTTGCAAGGGTCTGGAGCTTTGATGTTTGTTACACTGCATTCACTCTTAACTTTTGATAAACTTCTGCAATAAATTGAACGGAGAAATAATCTATGTCATATGCTTGTGGAGGGAAGGGTGGGAGGAGGGTTAAGGAAAAGTATAGGGTTTTCAAGGTCTAACACAGAAACTACCTGCATGTCATCTGTTAAACTATGCATCTAAAGCTGTTTCAGTTTTCATGTAAAATGAACCTCACTTTCATTTTCATCCAACAGACCATAGCTTCAGAGGGCTAGCTTCTGTAGTTTGGCCTAACTGGTAACATTCCAAATAAGCATTTACTGTTGCAACAGCAGGGCGCTTTGCAAGTCAAAACTGAACAGTAAATGCCTATAGCGTGCTGCCTTTCTGGCTCCAATTAGTGCTTATTTTCCATGTGCTGTAATGCCAAAGAAGGAATAAAAAGAAAGCTGTACGCGTCTTGTATAAGCTTACTGTCTGTTGCTAATTAATACTCTCTGTGTAATCTAGGCCAGAAAATCAGTCCAGAAGGTAAAGCTAAAATTCAGCTTCAGCTAGTATTGCATGCAGGGGACACAACCAACTTTCACTTCTCCAATGAAAGCACAGCAGTGAAGGAGCGAGATGCGGTAAAGGATCTTCTTCAACAGCTGTTGCCCAAGTTCAAAAGGAAAGCTAATAAAGAACTTGAGGAGAAGAACAGGTAAAGGGAAAGCAGCCTTAATTTGGGGGGTGGGGTGATGGTTTTTTTGAATTGTTACCTAACTATAATGTATTTCTGCTAGCAGTTGTTGTTATTGCAACATCATTAGTGATACGGCATTTGTTTCCCTAGTAAAAATCTCTCTGCTTTCAATTTAGAGGCAGTTCCTTGAGACTTACATAACTGTAACATGTTGAGACTATACTTGCGTTCTCAGTGACACATTCTTGAGGTGTAAAGGCAGCCAGCCCGCCCGGCTGCCACCCAGTCTTTCTTACCCACGGCTGTGAAATGAAGCACCCAACTGGCAGTCTGTCTCTTTAGTCTTCTTAAATATACATGTATCAGTTAGCAAAGCTACTTGAAAGATTCTGGATTTTTTTTCTTTTCCAGAAGTTTTCACCTTCCTTGATTTGTGATTTATTTTTTTTCCCCCTGCATAGCCCCTTCCCCTCCAAGTCTTCTTTCCTAGTGTCTATATACTCTACTAAGTTGCTAAGTATTTTCAGGCATCTCACTTGAGATGCAGTAGTTTGTTATTTGGCACACAGGATGTTTATTCTAAAAAATGTTTTGAGAAGACGTTCAGGACCTATGTCCTTTTCCCAGAAGGGCTTTTAAGATAAAAATTCCTTTAAAATGTTCATGTTAAACCAGTCCTTGTGGCTGTGGAGCACACTTCTCTGCATCTTCCCAGATGAGTTTCGCTTCATTCTGGCATCTGCTGTGAATCCTGTATCTGCTAGCTTCAGTTTCCAAAGTCTGTTCTAGCTTTGAACTTAGGTACTAAGTTAAAGCTAGATTTTTCAAAACATAGAAGCATTGCCTCATTGGGCAGATCAGATCTTGACAAGGAGATTCCCCAGCAAAAGGGCAAGAGCCCTTGTGCTGGAGCTCTGACAGATCCAGGATTAACTGGTTCCAGTACTGCAGCGACCACTAGGGTCTACAGCAGTGGAGACTGCTTTGGCACCATTACCATACTAGTTTTTTCATGCTACGTGCCTTATTTCTGACTATTAATACTGAGTAGGTGGGCAGTCTTAGCTCTGAATCTCTGTATCCTTAAATGGAGTTTTACAGTATTATGCCATGCGGCATTAAGAGCTTTTCTCGTTACAGAAAAGCCAGAATCTCTGCACAAAGAATAGTCATAGTCTGTTCCTTTGATGATTATAAGTCCCAGTCTAGTGATGGGGCTTCATTAGCTTAATTTGCAACAGATGAGGCAAAGAAGTTTCAACCTGTTCTGGAAGGGTGCTACATCCAGGGTCCCTGTGGCACTTTCTCTGTTTATTGATATGTGGGGGTCAGGTATGGACTGAAATTCTGAAGTTTTAATGAAACAATTACAATAACAGGCTGCTTGCTGCTGCACCAATTTGTAAGAATTGCCACTAATCTGTATTTGTACCAACAAGAAAAACTGGAAAAACTTTAGTGGTTAAAACATAATAGGGATGTCCTGCCACAAAGTTTTCACTTCCACCTCATTGTACTTCATCCTTAGAGCAGCTGCAGACTTTCATTCAGTCCACATTGCAGTTTATCCGTGTTCTTCTCTAGACCATGTACTACTATGTGTTCATAACATTCCTTTTTTTTTTGTTTGTTTGTTTGCAAATGATCAAGACCCTGAGGTACATGCTGAAGATTGTTGAGGTTATTGGCCGATTGTGAACACACGCGCACATTTCCCTGAAACTAGCCTAGGGGGTTTCAAATTACATATATAGCTGTGTCAAAAGCTGCTTAAATATGAATTACCTGATGTTTCAGCTGCATACATTCTTTGCATTTTAGATAGTAAGGGTGATCCTTGATATTTGGATGATAACTTTTGTAAACGTTATTCCCTTGTAGAAGTAGTGACACTGAATGTTTCTGCAGCACTTGTGCTGTATGCAGTAGTCAAGCAATGAAGATCTACTGTCACCAACAGAAACATAAACGAACAAACAACTCAGGGTAGCGTGCCTTTTGAGACACCTTATCCCATAAACATTTTGTAATTTGTACTGCTGCACTAGAATAGAGACCTGTAACTACTGAATTTTAAAATCTTAAACAAGAATTGGGTAGAGCCGAAATCCCCTTCCCCCCAACAAGACCTTTGTTACAGAAGTTCAAGAAAATTCATTGTGCTTTTACAGTTCAAGAGAGTCCAGTCCTGGATGTGCAAAGACACAGGAGCACCACAGAGTATTTTAGGACAAGATGTTAATCCCACATTAACTTTTTCCTAGGCATTGCTGTTTTCTAGCATTTAACGTTATTCCTTAAATGTTTTTTAGTCCTTTCTGAAGTCTTCTGAGACAAATATAGCTATTAAGGTTGGTTGTTTACACAATCTTGTTAAGAAATGCACAGCATTTTGAAAGAAAAGTTGGTTTCTGTTCCTTTTGTGAACTCATGTTAATTATGGAAATCCTAGTGATGTATTCTGCAGCGTTTCAATTCTATTCAATACATTCTTTTACCAGAATGCTGCAAGAAGATCCTGTTTTGTTTCAGCTTTATAAAGACCTTGTTGTAAGCCAAGTAATCAGTGCTGAAGAATTCTGGGCCAACCGTTTAAGCCTGAATGCAGGGGATAATTCTGCAGCACCTAGTAAGCAGGATGTGGGCATCTCCGCAGCATTTCTGGTACGTTGAACCTCTAACTTAAAGGATTTTAGAGCAAACAGATTGGGGAAAGTGAGAGTTTTGCTCATGTACTTTATTCCCCTGTACTTTAATGTTGTTCTTTTCTGATTCCTCAACATCTCTCCATGTGTGAGACGATTGTAAGGGTAAAGGAGAAAAAAGAAAACTAAAGGTTTTATGTAAACATGCAACCTCAAAATTTTGCCAATTTAAGATGCCCAGTTTCAACTTTAAAGTGACACTAGGCAGATGTTGTTTATACTGCTGCTCTGCCTTCAGTAAAACAGGAATAATGATGAATTTACGGTTGCTAGATTACAGTGTATTAACTCAGTAAGTTAAAAAGAGTATCTGTTGCAGCATTGACATGCAGAAGTGAGGCTGCAAAGACTTTCCACACAAGAAGTTTTATCGCTTCCCCAATTTTTTTAAGCCAGTACATGCTTTCAGCTACTTTCAGAACAACCTGTATATCTGAAAGCTTGTTTTATCTCTCTCTTTCCCCAACTTTCAGTTGCGTTACCCCTTTGTAGAAACCATGCTTCGGTAATTTCAATGCAGTCTAAAAGTAATCTAGGTACAATCTTCAGATTCCTCCCACAGAGATGTGTTTGTACTTCTGCAACAAAATTCATACAGATTATGGCTCTCTAGCTGGAATCCCATTTCCACCTTTGTAATGACCGTGCACACACCAGGGGTTTGGGAGGGAAAGAGGAGGCGGGTGTTGTTTTATGACTTAGCTGGCTCTGCAAACACTTGGTTTTTCCCTCCTAGAAATACCTGAAGGCTTAGCTTCTGTACAAACGCTTGTTGTCCTCCCCTAGAAGTACCTGAATCAGTTACCAAGTGAACTTGATTGCTCTGACTTCCCATCTCCTGTTGTTCTTACATCTTAACATAAAAAGACCAAACCAACCCAAACCTTCAAAAGTGAAGCTTTCTTGAAATAACTCGTTGTGTTTGCGTACCCTGCATTTGTGAAGAAGAAAACCAGATATTTGTGTGTCCTAGTTCAAGTTGAAATAACTGTCTGGCTCTGCTCAGAATGAGTGTTTTTCTAGAAAGAAGGTGGTACAAAAACTAGAATTTAGGTGTACAGGACAAGGAAGTAAAGAAGGCAGCGTATGTGATCCTTTACAGAGGATTGGACTGAGCACTTGCTTTCTCCACAGAGCTGCCTAGGCAGATCACTGAGATCTAACTTGCAAGTTCTGACTAAGGTTTACCCTCAATTTTTACATCCATGAGATGCTTTTAGTGTATAAGGAAATAAGGTGTCAGAGCCATAAATCCTTTTTGTCGCTTCATTATCATCACTGATTATTCACTAGCTGAATTGTTGAATGAACAACATGTAATGAATGGTTAGGGTTGAATGAACAACATTATACAGTAAATATGCCTCTTTTTACTTTGAAACAAGGATATACTAAACTAAGCATACCTTCTTTTAACTGATGGAGTGGTCTTTGCTTTTCATCTTCTGATGCTTACAGTCTACTTGTTGAATCACCCTGTAAGTGGCAAGTATAATAAAGTAATTAATGCATGCTCTTTCATTTCTCATTCTAAAAATGCCTATTTATGCTGAAATATGCTATGGATTATTGGAGGAAGAAGATTATTTTATCTGCAACAGAATATGATTGCAAGATGCCAGGTTTTTTTCCTTCTCCAGTTACAGAAGGCATTTAGATGCAACTGTTTTTCCTCCCTGTGTGCTTTTTCTTAGGCTGATGTACGGCCTCAAACAGATGGCTGCAATGGTCTGAGGTACAATTTGACTTCAGATATCATTGAATCCATATTTCGAACATATCCTGCAGGTAAGAATAGTGCCTAAGATAACAAATACATTAATTTAAGATTTCTTTCTTTACCATCTTACTGTGGGAAGGCTAGAATGTTACTCTGAGCCTGGAAGTACAAAGGAGTGTATCTTCAGTCTTCTGGATGATTTTCCCTGCCTTGTTTGAGGAGGGATGGGAAGAAGCATGTGTTAAAACATGCTTTTGAAATGAAAACTTGATTTCCTTAAATGAAAACATCTTAATGTGTTGTGTTGTTGCTTGTGTGTTTTTTTTGTGGGGTTTTTTTTTTATATTATGAGTAGATATTTGGCTCTCCTACTCAGCATTTCCATTACTTGTTATTTTTCATGAAATCACCTTTGGGAGGAAAAGAATCTGATTTCCATCGTTCCCCTGCACTATGTTGAACACTGACACCAATTCATTTTGGCCTCAGGTTAAAACGACTAGATCCATTCTGACAATAGCTAGAACTCTGGCAAATCAGGCTTCTTGGCTGTGTGCAATACAAATCAGTATATTCAGACCACTGACGTGCATTTCTTGTCAAAGCATTAGCTAGCATTGCAGGGCATAAAAGAGTACCTGTTTGCTTGTGCTTGACTACTGCATTTGCTTGCATTTAAACAGCATGAATGAAGACAGCATTAGGTAGAAAGCAAGGAAGCAAGCAAGGAAATTCTATCTTAATATGATTTTTATGCTTTGTGGAACAGTTTGTAATAATTGTGGGTTTTGTTCACAGTAAAAATGAAATATGCAGAAAACGTTCCACATAACATGACCGAGAGGGAATTCTGGACACGATTTTTTCAGTCTCATTATTTCCATCGGGACAGGCTCAATACAGGCTCAAAAGACCTCTTTGCGGAGTGTGCCAAACTGGATGAAAAAGGTAAGCTTTTTGGCTTTGGTTCCACAGTAGGCTGCTACTTCATAGAGCACAACACTCAAGAGCTATATCTAGTAAACCTAACAAAGCTGAAGTCAAAAGTGTTCTTATGTTCGTTGACTGGGCATCGTGTTTGACAAACTGTAAGGTAAAAACTACAGGTGTCATTGAAAGTTAGCTATAGTTTTGCTATTAGCGTGCTTCATAGCGAGTGCATTTCTTGAAACACATTGGCCTTTGGAAAGCACTAGCACTAGAAATAAGCTTTATTACAACTCATGCAACAGTAAATCTGTGATAAATTCTGTAATATGCTATCGTGCCAGATTGATCATGCTGTGCCATCAGTTACTATAGAATAATGTTGTTTACATCAGGCTTTGTTTTGTGGTATGTGCACAATTTGCAACAGGTATAGCTTATGTTATAGATCAGTTTTTAGTAGTAGACAAATATGCATCATCTTTAAGATTTTCCAGAAGAGTTGCCATCCCTGTTCTCTGTGAGCCTTTCTAATGTGAAATCTTAAAATATTGTCCGACTCTTAAGTTTTTATTGAACTTTTGAGGTAAATTTGTGATGATACGGAAATGTGAAGAGTTGAGATCACTTAACACCATTCCTTAATGCTATTCTGGCTAATGAAAGCATTCTATTAGGAATCCACAACCCTTCACAAGTAAAAGCTATCACCAGATATACATTACCATTCTACCCAAGACAGGATAGCAAAACAGTGCCGAAATTAGAAGAAACACCCAATTAAGGCTTCCCGATTCCCACTAATACCACTAATATAAGTTCATCTTCCTTTTTTTTTTTCCTACCAAACAGTATTCAGTTATGTGTAGAGGTTGATGAAAACTGCGCTAATTAGTAGGATGATCTTTTACAATAACTTTTCAAGTTTATTGCTTATTTTAAATGGAACTTTGAAAAAGGTTGAAAGTTTTAGTCACAGTGATATTTGGACATCTGCAGAACCTTTATCTTATCCATTTGAAAGGTTAAATATAATCTAATAATCCCACAATTATTTCTGTTTGCTTAGATACAGGTTTTCATTTTTTTTTCTTTGTTTCATACAGGGTTAAAAACAATGGTGTTTCAAGGAGTGAATAAGTACAGATGCTAATTCTAAAACACATCGCTTACTAGGCTGCTGCAGTGGTTGGGTAGTCAACTTTTACACAGTTGCATGCGTGTAAAGAAACGGAGACTGCGCCCGTGGACCCATATGCCTCAGATGTCTGCCTTAGCATGCTGGGTATTAAAACAGGACTTCTCTTTTTTAAAGAATTATTTCACTTGGATGGCTTTTTTGTCGGAAGTAGACTGTCTGGTTTCTTCATACATTTTAGAAGCTTTGGCAACGTACAGAAGAGTAGTACAAAACAGCAAAAAGGTCTTTGCATTTGGTCTCACTTTGAACATTGCTATTGGTTTGATTCAGCTTAATTTTAAGGACACTTTATACAGTTTTAATTGTTTAGCTTTAAATACCATGTTTTGTTAAAAACATGACTAACTTGAGCTATTACCTGCCTCCAAGTACAAAGTAAAACAATTGTTATAAATGGTGTACCATAATGTGAAATAACTTAAAGGTGCACTTTTCTGCAGTTGATTTAACTTAAACTTTTGAGTTGTAATTGATACTGATGCTGCATTTCTATGTTGTTTGGGTTTTTTGGTCAGAGTTCTACAAAGCTAACAGCCTGAAAGACAACACGGAGTTTAGGATAGGTGTGTTCAAAGCGCTGTGCAAACTGCCCTAGTTTGCGCGTGAGGCTGGTTAACTGCAAGCATGAAAGTGCGCATGGCGTAAAGCGAGTTGCCTTCAGCCACCTGGTAACTGGGGAACACTGCCAACATTAAGGCTTGAGGTTTTTTGAATTCCTAGCGGTATCACATGCTCCTGACAGGTGTCATTTAGCACGAGGGCTGCTGGTGTCCCACAAGATGTTAAAAAGAGGTCAGTAAAACAATTGCTAGCTCTTAGTTGCCATCAGTGCCTGTCTCTTTCATACAGGTGATCCTTAAACTTTTTAAGCTAGTTCTGGTTTTACTTAGATCACGGTCTTGCAAAACTATCTAAGATTTTTTTTTCTTCTCTTAGATGCCTCTAAACTTCCAAGTGTTAGCAGAATAAAATATTCTGTGGAGATTTTTTTGGAGTACATAAGGTGATGGTGGGGCAAGGTAGGAAAATACTGCTTCAGATAATGATGCAGTATCACACAGTAGAGTTCAGAGGAGGTGGCTTGCAGGCTTCCTGACTCAATGGAAAACAGAGTATCGTCCCTTTGGGTTTGGGACAGGAGGTAGCTAATGTTGTTTTCTTTGCAGGGCTATGGTGTTGCTTCTGTGGCCTCTACATCAAATGCCTCAAAATCCGCTAGAGAAAGTAGCAACGCTGCCATTATAAAACGCTTTAATCATCATAGTGCCATGGTCCTTGCAGCTGGCCTCAGGAAACAGTAAGTTTCAATGTTGTGTAAAAGCTTTTTTGTACCAATTTTAAGGAATTTCCAAAATTAAAATACGTCTTTGATTACTCATGCAATCTTTTGATTTTTATGAATTAAGTACTTTTCTCTAGAAATTAAAATGCCTTTAGATTCCATTTTACTTTATGAAAGTTCTTCAGATCTGTCTGAGATAACAAATGCTATTTTTAGCCGAGTTATCATACAGAGCAGATTAAAAAAGGAAAGGATGTTTCTGCCTTAGTTCTCTGGCCCTGGTGGAGGCTGCAGAAGTAGTGTTCTGTTTGCTGTGTGGAGGTGAGGTCTGGTGCACAAGTTCTTATTGCCTGCCTTCCAGGAGCAGCTCTGCCGGGGCTGCCTGTAGTGGGGTGCATGGACATAAGTAAATGAGGAAGCAAAAGAACAGTGTGACATGGGTGGATCAGATGAAAGATTCCTCCAGTGCTGTACCCTGCCCCTGACTGGAGAAAAAAAAAAAGTGTCAGGTGGTTAGGTATATTTACAGTGAACTTCACAAATGGAACTTCTTAAGAGAGGTATAAAATGGGTTTGACATGAAGTCTGCTTTACAACTAGTTTATAGACAACCACCAAAGAATTACTACTCTTACCAAATCCTACAGACCATACCTGTGAGAGATCTTAACTAAGTACTTTCTTCTGCGAAGCTCCCTCATGTTGTTCTGTCTTGCACAAATTGAGCACTGGACCTTAAACAATCTCTGCTGGTAACGTGTGTTTCTCGTTCTCAGTTCAGAAAGAGACAAAACAATAGCTCTCATTCTGAAACAGTAGTATCTCACAGCTCCCATAGCTCTGTTAATACCTGCTTGGCTTAAGTGTGTGTGCAAAATGTTTCTAAGTTGGTCATGATTTTGCTGTGTCCCACTTGCATTGTGGGCATGCTACTATTTCTGAAGAGAGGGAGAAGCACCCTCCCCTGCTGTTGAATTTCCCCCTTGACAAACAGGGTTATTTGAGGAGTTGGTTCCTGCTATCTAGATCAGCCACTAGAAATTAAGCCGTAAGGGGGAAGAGGTTGACATGCAGTATGTGAACATGCATAGAAGATTTTTGGGAGAGATGTATTTACTTTGTCTCTAGCTTGTATCTTAAGTTTCCTGTGAGGTGAATTCTTCTTAATGCCGTTTCTCTATTTTAAGAGAAGCACAAAATGACCATTACAGTGAGACCAGCAGTACGGATGGAAACTCCAGGGATTCAGATTTCTTTCAGCCACCAATGAAAAAGGTATAAAGTTAGCTGATGCAATTCTAATTGAATGGAACTGGAAGCTCTGTCTCTCAAAAGATTGCTGAAGGTTCCTTACTTCTTTTATGATGCATCTAAAGTGATACTTACTTCGCTTTGCTTAGAAGTATATAGAAAAGAACCCGAGGGCCTGTAAGAAGCTTTGTACCTCTGTTAGCAAACACAAATAAATTACACCTTGAAGTATTGCTTTGTTTATCCCCTCAGTAGTGCCCAAAGAAAGTCAGAAATTTCCAACATATTTCTGGTTGGACCCAGAAATCTGGTTCTTTCCATTCATTGCAGTTCTATTTTTGCCTGCGCTCCCCCACTCCCCTTTTTTTTTTTTTCCCAGATGCCTGAAAACTTCTAGAGAACATCCATCTGAAAGGGCTGTTGGTGTTCAAGCACCAATATTAAACCTATCAAGTGTATTGTTTGTAGAGGGGATGATTAAATTGGCACATGGCAGCCTTCATCTTAAGGTCAGAAGCTGAAGTGAGGTTGAACTGAAAGTGCAGTGGCGCCTGGTGCACTGATATACAGGGCAGCAGCCTGGTTTAACCATAGCAGCTCAGCATGGGGAAGAGCACTGTAATTGCTACAAAACTGAATTGAATACTCTTGCTAGAGTTGACAGCCTAAATAGAAAATGCCAAGGGGACTCAAAACCTGTTTATATTGTGCGAAAAGGTTGTGGAATATATGTGGTGTTAAACATTGAAGTAGTCAACAGCTTTGACTTCCCTGAAAGCTGCAGTTTTTACTGGGAGAAAATGATTCACCAGAACTAGAATAAATGCAATGAAGAGTGAGAGAGTAGCATGAGAGTAGAGACTTCAAAAGTAGTTTTCTCATTGCACAAAGTCTGATGTTATCTTTCACCACCAGTGCTCTAGCTCTACTGTCACCAGATAGCGTGGGTAATTACTGTAGTTTTAGTCTTGCACTCGTGTATGACAGCCATTAAATCATTACTATTTCTGCAAATCTGGAGATAGGTGAACATAAGTAGAGAGCACAAAGAACAGTGTACGTATAGCAGAACACTTCTTGGAAGTGGCAGGGACTGCCAGTTTTGGCCAGAATCTACAGAAAAAGCATTAGTGCCAAGATTTCCAAACTGCACAAACAATATTAGGCGCTGCTCCCTCTGGAGGGTAGACACAAACCATTCCACACTTTCATTTTCTTTAAGGTTTCAGTGACCTTTCCGCTCAAACTCAGTGAACTGGAAAAAAGCACTACATGCATGAAATTGTGTCCTCATTAGTAATGTGTATAATTATTTTTTAGGTGAAACTGCAGGAGTCCATTGAATATGAAGATTTAGCAAAGAATAATAGCATTAAAACTATTGCACTAAATTTAAAGAAGTCCGATAGGTAAGTTAACAAAATACACATGGCTATTTCAGCATATTCAGTCTAGCAGGTTTCTCATCACAGCCTGCAGAGAAGCAGCTGATTTAGTCTCTGCTGTGCTATGCTCAAGTGTGTTTAGGCTAGGTTTATGAACTCCTGCATAAAGCAGCTTCCAAGTAATTGCCATTTAAATTTGTATTTTGATTTCATCTTGCTTTTCAGCTAGCTAAGTCTCTGTAAGCCTATTTGAAGGGCTTTGACATGTAATTTCTGTGAAAGTCGAACAGACCCGTATTCACAGTTCAGCACTTTGTTGCAGCTTGCAGTGGAAAAGTGTGTGTGTTACATGTGAAAATATATATGATTCCAAGGAAAATCCACTCCCAGGCAAAAAAGTGCAGTCGGGATACTTTGGACTGCTCACTGGTCTAGTATTTTTCTAGTAATAGTCCTCTTGTTTTCTAGACTTTTGAGTTTGAGAACCTCAGAAGAGGAATGATACCACAGTAAAGAGAACAGTTCCAAATGTGCACCTAACTTCATTTAGCTTAGTTTCAATCAACAGTGGTGTGAATTCCTCCATTCTAATGGTATTCCCAGGACTAGGTGGCACAGGTAGCCTTTCATTAGCAAAATGATGCTCACAGATTCAACAGTAGACGCTCTTTTATTTTGCTGCGATACCATCCCTAACCCAGCCTCTTCCCATGTGGCAATATATATTACTTTGTCAATAAATATGATTTAGATAGTACCATCAACAGTTGCAAAGCATCTAAAATTGGAAACATTTGAGGAATTGTCCTCCCCTGAGTTTGGCCTCTGTTTTACCAACACTCCTATTAATATCCTTTTCTCACCTCACAGGTATTATCATGGTCCAACTCCAATTCAATCACAGCAATATGCAACCAGTCAGGATATAATTAATTCTTTTCATAGTATTAGGCAAGAAATGGAAGCATATGTACCCAAACTAACTCAGGTATGGAAGAATACTCAAAAATACTCCCTTCTGATATTAGCATCTTGCTTTCTTTATAATTTTGTGTCTCATGTCTACTGGAATTTTAATTTTCCAGGGTAAACAATTATCTCCAATTGTTTTATGTTACTCAATTTATTTTACAACTTTAGGCGATAACCTTTAGAGCTGTTGTATTTAAAATCTCAGCAAAGGAAGTGGCATCATTGCTGATACTTAGAGTTACATTCTACTGTTACCATGCTCTTTTGAGGAAATGGTAAAGGTATAAAGCAGTGAAGCAGGATAGTCATGCAACATGAAGCACAGGCCAATATTATTGATCCCACCCACTGAAATTTAGCATGTGATGGTCTTGGGAGGTCATAGTAAGCAGGTTTGTAACTGAAAGGGTCTTTTGCTCCTAAATGCACTTAGGTAGGACATAGATCTCACTGTGGGCTGCACAGAAGCTCTGTCCGGGGAACTGGAGGACAGCACAGCCGTGTAGCCAATATCCCCAGCCAGTATCTGAACTTCCTCCGTTAGTAAACCTAGATTTGGCCCTAAGTGAAGCAGATGCAACAGTGAATGTGTCATATTTCTGTATAGTAATTCTGTGTCTCATTTCAAAGTAGCTGCACAGCAAATTCAGGTGCTAGGTAAAGAAGAGGTTTGTTTGTCCATAATTAATTGGAGAGCTTTCACTGAAAACATGAGCTGTAGCACTTAAAGGCACTGTGTCTAATTCTGGAGAAGAGCAGACTCTTCGTTAGAACTTCCATTGTATCTGCTCAACTGTGTCTTTGCCATTGGAGTTGAAATACAACTTACTTTTTTTGTTAGAAAAAGTGATCTGAAATATTTGTTCCCTCTCACTTCAGGTTCTTTCAAGTGGTGATGCTGCTAGCACTATTGCAGTCCTGTCACCTGGAGGAGCACTTATGCAGGGTGGAACACAGCAAGCCATAAACCGTAAGGATTTAGGATGTATAATACTTTTATCATATCTTGGTGCATTATACAGTAGTACCTGGCTTGCTGTTTCATCTCCCTCTTAGAATATGTTTCAGTGATAAAGGAAATTACGGAAACATGTTGCTGGAGTAATACTGGGTTACAGCACCAAAAGCAAAGCAACAACCCAGCCACACCATGAGGGTGGTACTGGCTACACCAGTGCTGAGGCAAGTGAAAGAGGGAGAATTTTACAGAGCAAGTGATGAAGGATGCACTTGATACTAAGTCCCCTTACAGATCATGGGTTTTGTTTGTTCAGTATTTGTCC